TTAAAGCAGTCTCAAACTGGATTATTTCTGCAGTGTCTTTTGGACCTTTGCCTGCAGAAATAATCCAGTCTGATACCACTTTAGCTGCCCAGTTCTAGGTGATGCTGGGAATTGTAGTTTTTTGTGGTACCAGAACTCTTGGACAGAAAAGGCTAAATGACTCACAAAACTACAGTTCCCAGAATTCCCTAGCATTGAGTCAGGGCAGTTAAAGCGGACTCAAACTGGATTATTTCTGCTGTGTGGATGCAACCTTTGGGACTAACTGAAAGAAAGAAGTTGGTAGCATGAGCTTTCCTAGGCTTGAGCCTACTTCCTCAGATGTATTTGTAGTTTTACAAGGTCTTTTGCCATCTTTGCCCAACAGTGCTGTTGCCTCACAAAACTATAAATCCCAGGATTCTGTACGCTGGAGCCACAGCAGCTCAAGTGGTGTCAAACTGCATTATTTCTAGGTGCAGATTTTGAGTTTTGAACGTCAAGATAGGTCTCTTTCTGCATCCTGTTGCCAGACTGCTGTTTCCATCTGTATACTAGCCAGCATAGCCTATATTAGTGAAGGGATGATGGGATTTGCAGTCCAACAATAAAACTGTAAGGCCACATATTGACCAGACCTGACCCCCAAGGGCCATTCTGTTCAAAGGGGCTGAAATTAACAGGTCTTTTGGCATTTTGACCAATAAGTTTAATTCATCTCTTGAGGTATATGCACTTAATTTTTGGATCCTAGAGAGAGAGAGAGAGAGAGAGAGAGAGAGAGAGAGAGAGAGATCTTTGTAAACAATTTTTCTTTCTTTTAAAAAGTAGCTCTCCAAGCTCTGGTGGTTGTTTCAACCCTCCAGGATTGAGTTACTGCTATAGTTACAATTTTCAAAAGTAATTATTAACTTTCCTGTTGATAAAGTAAAATACTTTGTTTTTAAAAGGTCTGAATGCTACAAGACACTCACCTGTGTGGAACAATGCATCCTCTCCCCTACCACATTGTCATCTCAGTACGCACAAAAGTACATGAGGTAGAAAGATATGGCACAAGTCATAGACTTAAACCATGTGCTGTTGTTTCTCCTCCGCCATTTGGTAAGTACAGACCCATGAAACTATAACATTAACTACAATGGAACTGTTACACCAAAAAAGCCATCAATTCTAATAGTTTTATCTTCATGGTGTGCGTGTGTGTGTGTAGATTTGTTACAATTAACTGATTATTTATAGCTAGTTACCCTCAAGCTCTGAAGCATGTTCTGCTTCTGATAACATTAACTTAGGGGGGTTGCAGACTGCCAGAAATAGTGCAAATTGAGTCCACTTTTAGGGTTAGGGTTAGTGCTAGGGAATCATGGGAATTTTTTTTCTGAGACATCGAGCCTTCTCTGTCAGAGCTCTGGTGCCACAAAAAAATACAGTTCCCATGATTCCCTAACCCTAACCCTAACCCTAAAAGTGGACGCAATTTGCACTATTTCTGGCAGTCTGCAACCCCCCATAAGCCTCTAGGGAAGTTTTGTTCTCAAGACGGGAATCCCCACACATGTAGATGAAGGGAATTTACAAATATTCTGTTCAGTGGCCATGTTAAAAATAAGGGTGGGTACCAACATGTGTGCTATTACTACGTAACATCAGGATGCACCCAGTGCTATGGCTCCTTGCATGCTAATACTGCACATATGGGATGACAGCAAAGAGACTGTTTTAAATGTGATATTGTATCTAATAGTATACACGGGGGGGGGGGGGGGGGAAACGACGGCAACAGTCATGATGACATTTTAAGAATTTTATTATGGCATCAGCCTTGATAGACTATAACCCACTTCATGCATCTTAGGAAGTAGGTTGTGGTCCATAAACGTGTACCACAAATTAATTTGTGAGTTTTTTTACAGTGCTGCAGTGATCTGTTGTTTTTGCTGCAACAGATTAAAAGAAATACAATTGTTATTATTTTAAAAGACAAGTATTGGGGCCTGTTTGAATTGCCTAGAAAACAAATGTGAGAATTGGTTCAGATTATATAGAGGTGACAGGAAATATACCAGGGCAGATGCAAAAGAAGACCTTCCTATGCCACATATTCTTGGGGCAGTTAAACTAAGCTCTGTCATTAGGCTCTACTTGAACTAGATTTAATATAGTGACCTGTTTTTGGCCGTGTCAACACTACAGAAATAATCCATTTTGACACCACTTTAACAGTCATGGCTCAATGCTATGGAATTCTGAGATTTGTAGTTTGTTGTGGCACCAGAGCTGTCTGACAGAAAATGCTAAATATCTCACAAAACTGCAGTTCCTATAATTCCATAGGATTGAGCAATGGGAGTTTAAAGTGGTGTCAAACTGGATTACTTCTGCAGTGCAGATGCAGCCTTCTAGTACTTTCCAATCAAGAAAAAAGCACTAGGCTGCATTAGGCTCCCTGCCTGGGACTGGGAGAAAGGTGGCATATAAAGTAAGTAAATAAAAATAAAATAAATAAATTAGTTTGTTCACCTAATCTCATGGCTATAATTTCACACAATGTCCACATATCAGGGAGAAAAGCAATATTAGCAGGCCCTAAGGGGAATCTTACATGTGTCATTAACTCCTTGATGATGCATAATGTTCATGTGCAGATGTATGAAGAAAGCAATAAATGAAATGTGCTCTATGAACATTTAAAAGGACATTTTTTAATGTATAAAAGGAGACAGAGAAGTGGGAAATTTTTCTAACCTCAAAAGTAAATGGAATATTTATTTTGTGAAATCATTCTTCATTCTCACTTCCATATTAATTTTTCACAAAATTTCAAAGAAAAATAACAGGAGAAAAGCCCACAACACCAAAATAACAATATAACTTTAATTTTTAATTAAAATGTAATTTATTCAAGTCTCAACAACAAAGAAAAGCTTCACAGGAAAAGGAAATCGTCAATTTTTAAAAAACTTTGTACTTAATTATTTTCCCCTACATATGTTATTGTTATGCAATAATAACTAGTAGAAGTCCCTAATTTTGCAGCAGTTAGAAATCCTTTTGTTCCCACCTCTATTGTTATGATATTTTTTCTCTTTGCTCATTCTCTTCTCCCACTCCACACTCATATATTTCTTTTTCACTGGGCTTGTCCTTCACTCCAGTGCTTATTCAGCCTTCCTTCTTCTCATTCTCCTCATGCACTTACAGCAGGGCCTTTAATTTTCCTCTCTTAGCTGTTCCAAAGTTTGCTGCTCCTGCAAAGAAAACTACAGCTTCAAGTTGCTTACAATTTGTCTGGAGAAATGACTACGGTATATCAAGCATATCAGCAGCTTCATCTTTGAGGAAGGCTAGAGAAGTCTGCCACCTTGCAATTGAAGGTAGTACTAACATTAATTAATCAGTTTAATGAACAAAATAAATATACTGTCTAATTACATCATATTACAAAATTCTTCCACAGGGGCAAGTCCACAAAAGCTACCTATTTGAATTAAAGTCATCAACTATCTTGAAAGCCAGTATGGTGTGGTATTGGACTAGGACTCTGGGAGACCACTCAATCATGGAAATCCACAAGGTGAACCTGGACAGGACACAGTCTCAGTCTTTGAGGAAAACAGTGTCAAGCCTCTCTGAACCAATCTTGACAAGGAAACATTATGATAAGTCACATTTGAATTGAAGACACAGAACAACAGCAACAAATTGACTGTTTTAGGGATTCCCCTCCACAACCGATGATGCAAAGGTACCAGGAGGTTGCAGTATTTGTTGCTGTAGACCTTGATTTTTGTTTAAGTATCCAAACAACACTTCTGTTGTTCCAGACCGTTTTCTGGCAATTTCAGGCACCAGTTGCAACATTTTAATCAAATTTTAATCACATCTGTGAGTTGGTTTCTTTTAAATTCCAAAATATATCAGAACAATTTTAAAAAACAACCTTTCTCTTTTCAATTTAGAGAAATTACACTTCTGCCATTTGATGTAACACTATAATTTGTTATAACACTATAGTTCTAAAAAAAAAACCTTTTTTTTTAATCAGAGAGGAGAAAATTTGCCATTCAAATCATAGGACCATGTCAGCCGACTATGTTGTGTGCCTTCAAGTCATTTCTTACTTATTGTGATCCTAAGGTGAACCTATCACGGGGTTTCTTGGCAAGATTTGTTCAGAAAGGATTTGCCCTTGCCTTACTCTTGAGCTGAGAGAGTGTGACTTGTCGAAGGTCACCCACTGGGTTTATATAACCAAGCAGGGATTTGAACCCTGATCTCCAGAGTCATAGTCCAATACTCTAATCACTACACCATTCTGGGCCCTCTAGCAGATTATACCCCAGATTAAAAAAAAAACTCTGAAAGAGCTGTAGTGCATATCCAAGAAATCATCACAAACAGCCCCCCCAAAAAATACATAGAATGAATGAGTGGACATAGAGTCAACAGCAACTAGCAAAACCCAAGGAACTATATTGCAAGATGTCATGTTTCTTTAGTTACTGCATTTTCCACTGAATTTTGAAGAGCAATGCTAAGCTTCATTTTATTTTTTAATTAATTTATTTTGTGTGCTGGGGGACAAAAAAGAAGCTGGGGTTGCATTTAGCCTGTAGGCCACACTTTTATTCCTGGTCTAAAATTTTCTCATTTTTTTTCTTTCAGCCAGGGACAGTATGAACCAGTGGTGTTATAAGTATGAGATCTATTCATATTTTATCCTTTAAGATATTTTATAATGCACCTAATGGTACAAGGAATATGGTAGTCATGTCTGCTTGCTAAATGACTCAAGAGAGGTGATTTATTTACCAGAAATGGTCATTTGTAATGAGTTGGTTTAAAAGGGCACTGCTGGGGAGGCATGAAAATGCTTTTTTTAATTGTCACTAATAGTAAACCACAAATTCATTATACAAAGTAATTTAAATTAAATGCTGGATCAACTGTTTAAATGTTAATACCCAGCATTCCCCAAATGATCACAGGCATCTGGTTGGAACCTAAAAGGGCAAATCTCTGGAAAAAAAGACAGATTTTTAAACCTACCCTTGATGCTGTTACATCCAATTGTATAACTGTTTTTCTAAACATATGTACTATTATTCAAGATGATGATGATGATGATGAGTCACTGGAACCACAGTAGGTTTCTTTGCCCAGAGGTGCTGATCCTAATTGATAATTTAAAATCTGCTTTGGTTTTGCTACTCACTCATTCCTAGATTCTTGGACAGAATCTGAATCATTGATGATCTAAAGCTCCAGTCAGTAACATATGGTACTCTTGAAACGACATGGTGGTGGTGGTGGTGGTGGTGATGATGATGATGATGATGATGATGATAGTAATAGTAATACAGACAACTGGAAAAGGCAGGCATGTTTCTTAAAAACTCATACTTTCAATATGATGTATTTCCCCACAATTTTATTTAATTTTTAAAATATTTTTTTAAAAATAGAGAAAACACATATAAACACATCAAGACAACAGTGATACATACAAATAAACCTAGATCAACAATGCAATATGATATGAATTTCACAAAACATTCAGTACTACACAAATTTTAAAAACACTTCCAAGCCTCTAATCCTAGCTATTGTCATATTATTCAATGTCCTTTTGCTAATAGTTCCATGAAGTGTATATAATAGTACTCTGCTACTGCATTTTAACCATCTTATCTTCCATTAATTAACTGACATTAAACTAAACTTTCATTTATTCAATTTTACTGCTTTTTGTCTCTGTTTACAAGATACATAACAGAAGGAGCATAGAACTCAAATTACTACTGAGCATTTTTCTCATTGTCAATTTGTCCTTGAAAAAGTTTTTGGTTCCAGAAGAGCCTCAGAAATTCTGTCACTGGCTACTTTCAATATGATGTATATGCTTGAGGGCTGCCAGGTAATTAAAGAGAAGTGAGTTAATTATTCACCTGAGTTTTAGCTAATTTCTCCACTAGCATTCCCTCAAAACATTTATGTGGGGTAATTTAAGTTTCCCGGGGCTTTAACCCCTTAAAGGAAACAAAAATATACAAATATGAAAGCTAAACCTGCTAAACCTTTCATTAGCAGAACAGCAGAAATGCAATTTTGCCTGTGAGCCTCTACAGACTGGTGAAAAGCACCGGCATCAGAGTGGAGTGGATGCCCTAACTCTGCCCCAGTGCTGTCATCATGCTGCATGCACAACTAGACAGTGGGCGGCGAAAGGGCGTTTTTTTGGCACAGCGTTTAGATGCGCTGCACCGAAGAAACACCAAAAAGCCGTGGTGACAAGAGCAGCTTTTTGCCGTTCTAAAAAGGAGAGGCATTTTGCCGCTCTCTCTTAGAGCTGGCAAAGTGCTGGATCGGGGTGCAGCATGCGGTTGCTGCAAACCCGATCTAGCAAGCAAAGGGGCAGCCAGACTATCAGGGTCATCTGTTGCTTTACTAATGAATAAAGCCCCTATGCTTTGCTAATGAATAAAAACTGACTCAAAAAAGATAACAAACTTATAGTTTGTAGTTTAAAAAATGATTGCTTTTAAAAAAATTGCTTTAATAAAAACTAAATGCTAATTTAACGTGATATTTCAGGCAAAGAGAGAAAATCTCATCATTTTTAAGATAGCAGGAAGATGGGAACAACAACTGTTTAGAATCTCTATAGAGAGAAGGTAGTTAGGGGCTGTACAGATGGCCCCTAAGGGGCAGCTCCGTGCCACTCCTGGGAGTGCTGGATTGGGACCGCATGCCATGGCCCCATCCGACACTTTGCTGCTTCAAAAAGAGCTGGCAAATGCTGCTCCTTTTTGGGGCGGCAAAAAGCCGCCCTTGCCGTGCTGGCAGTGGCTCTTCTGCACTGCTTTGGACAGTGTGTCTAAACACTGCGCCAAGGGAGCACCCTGATGCCACCCACCGTCTGTTTGCCCCGACTCCACCGCCAGGCTGGTCTTTTTGGCCGGTCTGTACTGGCTCTTAGTCTCAAAAGACAGTTAGTCTTAAAGGGAGAGTAACCAAAGTAGGAATCTCTAGCTATATAAATAAGGTAAAGGAGAATGCAAACATATTCCAACAATTTCACAGACAGAATTGGCAAACTAATGAGTAAGAAAATACAAACTAAGAGAGGCTGCAGCACTTTCTTTTGCCCAAGCCTACTGGGAGGGCAAGATTCCACCCTCTTCTCTCTCATCCTTATTTCAGCTGCACTTGGCAACTATATTGTCCTTTCCTGACAGCCTGGTAGGAGAGGAGGAAGAGAGAGAAAGGGTTGGCAGAGAGGGAGAGAAAAGACAATGGCAGAAAGAGAGCAAGGCAAGGAGTTGTGTCACCTGCTAATATGGTCCCTAACAATAAAGATTACTTACCCCTGGATTAAAAGAGTCCTGTTCTCTGAATTCTCTGTTCACTACTTTTGTTGGATTGCTCTGTTAGACTAGATCCAACCCAGTCAATATAATCAATTTATACAATAAATTTTGATTAGACATTGCATCCATAATAGTCTATCCATTTATAGTGAAGTTGTGGAACAAATGGAAGCAACCAAGAATGCATCTTCTACACTGTAGAAATAATGTTGTCTGACACTGCTTTAAGTGCTATAGCTCCATTCTATGGAATCCTGGGATTTGTAGTTTTACAGGGTCTTTAGCCTTCTCATCTAAAGAGTGCTGGTGCCGCACAAAGCTACAAATCCTAGGAGTCTGTAGGATGAAGCCATGCAGTCAAAGTAGTGTCAAACTGCATTATTTCTACAGTGTGAATGAACCCCAAGGAATCCAGCCCGCAAATACAGAGCAAAGTCATAAATGCTGCAAGAAAATTGCTTAATTTAGATTAACCGAATTGATCTAATGACATGTGTGTGTGTGTGTGCTTATTTATCTTTGGGAACTATTAAATAAACATTTTAGGTACGTAGAAGTGAAACTGATATGCTTTCAGAGAGGAAACCCGCTTTTCTCCAGATAAATAACTCTTTGCACAGTATTATTTGTGTTTCCAGAGGCCAAAACAAACCATCTCCCTGGAAAATCTGATAAAAATCATTCTTGCAGAGAAGGTACATATAACTGCTTTTAAGAGCACTGCAGAAAGCATCTGGATCATTTGCAATTAAATCTCTCCCCTCCAAACACATTTTATATAAATTAATAAAATGAATGTTGCATTACTGAAATTCCTAACAAGAGGAAAATAAAAGTCTTGAGTCCCAGCCTGGAAGACAGCTACACTAAAAATATAAAGTCCTCCCAACCATAAATGCCACACAGCTTGGAGCAAAAATCAATATAAATGCTGTAGAGAGGGTGCTTGAAAGCTGAGCAGATTATGAGGCATTTTCACCCCTGTGGAAGCTTTCTAAATTATTGTGCATATAGGGTTTTGGGTCGTTCCCCCCTTCCCCCCATCAACAACCAATGAAGCAGAATCTTGTTTTGGTCTTGCAGAGCAGGGAAAATAGGAACCAAAATTATTAACCTTTAGAATGTTTTGTTATTCTGGTCAAATAAATATAACAGTCTAGCCTACGCTGTATTTCTTAATTATGCCTGAAAGCCAGTGACAAGAATAAGGTACTGAATTCAGTTTTTAAGAACATTCATCCAGTAAAGCTTTGTGTCTGATAATAATAAGGGCCATAGTAAACCAATTCAGCATTGGAGCCTTATTTTCTGAATATGCTCTAAACAGCTTTGAAAACAGCGTTTGTCTGCACAGAAGTAAACCTCATTCAGTCGGCCTACATCAATCAGTTGCTGAATAGTAAATCAACACTAATTATATGGTAGTTCATATTATAACAAAACATTTTATAGGGACACAGAATGTGAAAAGTATGAATCAGGGGAACCTGAACATAGTACAACAAGAAATACAGTTAGTGCTCCATATCCATGAATTCTTTATCTATGGATTCAACTATCCATGGCTTTAAAATATTTTTTAAAAAATATAAATTCCAAAAAGCAAACCTTTATTTTGCTATTTTATATAAGGGATACCATTTTACTATGCCACTGTATTTAATGGGACTTGAGCATCCACGGATTTTGGTATCAATAGCAGGTCCTGGAACCAAACCTCAGTGCAATACTTGGGATGAGCAAGCTAAAGTGGACAGGAATGGGTCCTTTTCAGTACCAGCTTGATTTTACTGGTTGTATCTGTAATAAATGGCTAGCTGTCAACACTATGAACATACTGCAAAAACATAAAAAGGCAGAACTTAAATGTTAAATGTATGAAGAATTAATACAATGACATGCTGAAGCCATCCGTAACTAAGCATAACTGACCACAATATATACCTGCCTTT